ATTTTGCACAACTAGAATTAACTCGGAAAAAAACAATCATTCCGATAGTACCGCGCTGAGATCGAGGTCAAACATCGACTAGTAATACTGGCAGTACCGCTATTTGTCATACCTCCAGTGGTTGGATCAATTGCTTTTCGACACTGGTATAGTTTATATATTTGGGTGAGTATGTTGTCACGTTTCGCATGCTTATCTATGCCAGAATCTACAAAGGCTTAGCCCCACTCCCATGGAAAATATGTCGGACAGTGGTCGCTTGCCGCCGCCTCCTTCAATGTGGCGTCTGCTTTTTCGTGTACTAGATCATCCAACCCAAATGTGATCAAGCTAAAAAAACCTGTCCAGCAAAATTAAATTACAGAGCGAGTGAAGTCCGTGCTGTTTGTTGTTAGCCGAAATTGGTCGATAGTGTTTGGCGAGCAGAAACAACGGCGCCGTCGCCAATAAACGCCGCTATAGATACCGGATCGTTCATGTACCTGTTCGTTCCTGAAAATCGTTACAGGGAATACTCCTTACTGTACTAAATTGAAACGGGATAGGAGCTAAAGTAGCGGCAGCAGCAGTTATTTGTTACCGGCGGGTATGTATCCGCAGCGTGAGATGCGCAGTGAGGCGGGTGTCATGGGTGGGCCTCCGCATCGAGAGAGATGATAACGAAAGATTTGGAAACTGAAAGGAACTTTGTGATTTGAAAGAAATTACAATTTTTTTACTCTAGCCGTTTCGTCTGAAACAAAATCCCTCTGTTTGAAACAGAAGGATCGGTCACACCTGTGCTGTAGTATGTTTCCAACGTGCGGACTTTTTTCATGTTAGCTGTATAGTGGTGGACCGTGTATTGGATAATTATGGTTATATCCGAATAACAGTGCGATCTTTCTGAGTGCTATTACTGATAAAATCTTGTTATATTAAGTACAGCTACCCTTTTCAGTCCGGCAGTATTTCTCAGCTTTTGAAATCTAAGGAGTCTTTGTTTGGCTGGTCCTTACATAACTATAAAAGATATTGAAACCAGGCGGGTCTCACGCGGAGCTGAACATGAAAGAAAGGAGACATTTTTATATACATCGAGGCTAGTGGGGATATTGTAGTTTTCAGGCATTAAGCGATAAGAATGTTTTCAAACAAAAATCTTCTGCAAGGTTAATAATCACTTATTCCTCGTCGCCTTTCTAAGGCCTTGTTGTTTTTATCAACAACTACTCATGTAAAATGAAGGTCACCCGGAGCATGGTTAGGTAGTTTTAGTAATTATTTCGTAGATCTGTTCAGTGAATGGCTTTAAAACAATATAACACAGACCTCTCTAATTAATAGTAATATTTTCCATAAGTCATCGCTTGAGCTTCGCTGATGACATTACTAGAAACATGCATGAGTAATAGCTTGCCTATATAAAATCATATTTGTCTAACGTCCCTAGGAAAAATAAACTAAATTAAATATTGAACCTTTGAAAGATGGTTGTTCAGTCTGTTTTTTTTTTGATCTTCTGTAACCTTAAAAGCAGTTTCTGGTCGGCCTTTCGGCAACGTGAGCGCATACTGTGTAATCGGCGTTTGTAATGTTATTTGTCTAACGAATTCGCCTCACGCGATAACATTGCCTCCTTTACTAGTGTCCTGCAGCTATCCTTACGATTGCTGATATTTGTTTAAAGATTTTTATATTGTTAGATATGCGATATTCGAGGTGGGAAGCCCTTCTATGCATACTTATTGTTAAGCGTAGTGTTCTCTGATGCTATTTGCATAGAGCTTGCTGTGTCTAATTAATGCCACCCATGGTGGACAATCTGAATGCTCTGTTCGAGGGGAATTTAGTTATTTCAATACGGGGACATGACGGAGGATAATGGCACGAACAGTTGTTTGCGACAAACAATTCTGAACTATACTACTATGATGTAAAACTATAGATATACGCGTTTCCGCGCATCAATTCAATTTGGTCAACTTTAAGTCACAGATATTTTCCGAATGCACTTGATATTCCCGGCAGTCTAATAGAATATTTCAAGGAAATTTGCTAGACGAGCCCTGTAGGAGTCGACTACAAGGAAAGCAAACGTAAAAAAGGATAGAGCTATTTATGCAGAAGGCCTAAAATAGTTCCTGTCTAATTTTTGGTTATATGTGACTTCTAACTTACAGTCTTGCAACGTGTTGTAGAAAATTTACAAGATTACTACTTTAAAGCGAGAGGAAACTTAGAAAAGTTAAGGGCTTTATATAAAAAAAGACCTAAGACCATTTTAACTCATGCTGCTATAGCAGAAACCATGAAGGTTATCCTATATATTATCTAAACCTATCGGTCGGAACAAACAACGTTTGTATATACAAACAAAGAGAACAGGAAAGGTAGTCTTTAAATTGTATTGTTATATACACTGTAGAGTTTTGGGTTCATCATATTTGGCATTACCAACTATACGATACCGAAGATGACACGAAAACCTGTATTCAAACTTACAAGATGTTAGTTTGTATGTATTACAAATTACTCAATGGCAAAGTGGGCAAATGATTTAAGATATATATATATCCTTCTGGTGGTTCTCGCGAATGACTCGATTTCGACACGTTTTCGTAAGTTGTCAAGTTTGTAGCAATCAGCCAATACCAGCATTTAGGGTATGATATGCTGCCGTAGACTGGCCTCTGTTAGGATGCATAAATTAGAAAAAACGAGCTTTACACAAGAGAGAACTAACTTCTCTTTGAAAACAGTCCAGAAAAACTCCAGGTTAGTTCATCTACTATAAGTGATTACTAATGCTGAACGATGACGCGTTAATATAAATGACAAAAGTTAGTAGTTAATGTAGTTTTTGATTAGTGTTGAGAATAATCAGTCCCCGTACGGGTGCAGTATGTTCAAAACCAAGCTTTAAGTTAACACAGGGAGGTGCAAAGTGGGCTAATTGCGCGAATAACAATAAACATTGAGTAGCTTATATTGAGTAGTATATACCTAAATAATTGCGTTATACATAGAATGGCAAACTATTAACCCCCCACGTAAAAAATGAATAGGTGTTCAGCATACTGATGATGACCTGGGTTGAGACTGCAACCGGAAAGTGGCAATTCCACACGCATTTTTCAATATCGCCACGTAACAATAGTATTACTTCGTCGATAAACATTACGTCGTTGATAAAACAGCTTTTAGTGCGGAGTGAACGCCTTTGTACACGTCATAGTGAATATAGCAAATTTTCTGTCATCACGAGTGACCCATATACCAACTTTTGTTAGATAACTATTGTTATTATAATTATTATTATTTGTTATAATAGTAACATGATACAACTGAAACTATATTATACGGATCAGCTGTGACGCTAGGTAGCGAGCTTGGATATCTTCAAGCTTTGTGAACGAATTACTATTTGTATCTATTTGCTTAGTCGTTGAATATCGGATGGCATCCAGTCAGTGGTTCAGAATTTGGGCCGAACGATAACTTTCAATGCCATTCAGCCGTCACAACCCATAACGGACAGCTGAGCACTTTCAGCTTGGTAAGCCTCTTAGGCTAAATTCACGTTGTTAAAAGCTTAATAAATCGGAAGCCTAATTCTACTACGGAGCAGCAAAATTAGGCCAAAAATGCTTTCTCAAAGCACTCATAATTATTCTTGCAGAGATGCACTGCAGAAATTACAAATCAATCAGAGCTGATAGGTTAACCCAATAAAGGATTAACTGTGTATTTGTTAGAAAACAGTGCCTATGAAATTGATATTATTGGGCACTGTTCTACCAGTATTCGCTATTGGAAATTACGTAAAAAGTTATTTGTTTCTAGTTAGTGAACGTACAATACGTAGTTATCTTAACATCCGAAGTTAAGCAATTGTTAATTAGCTTTTTAAAATGACAATTCGAAAAAGTTAAGCTGTTGGTTACTGACATTTCTATACCGGATTTTTGTTTTTTTTGTATTTCTTGCAATTGAAAAGTCAGCCAAAGAGAAATGTCTCGAGTTTCGCATCCGGTAGTAGCATTATCAAAGCTATGCGAGACTCCACTGTATTAAAACTTAACACAAAAAAATCGTCAGCAGCCCAGTCAGAACTTCCATTTTGGGTCTGTAACTGCTAGAAGTTGCAACCTGAAAACATTATCTAAAAAGACCGAGCTTTTACTTGTTGTCTGCTTTACTATTCCGCTCAACGGTCTCCTCCACGATCCTATTTGTATGACGTGAGTGATGAGCCCCGATGAGACGTATAGGTCACCTACGAACCATTGATAACTAAGTGTTTCTTGTAAACTAATAGGTAAAGCTATATTCAGCCTAATTGAAAACGGTCGAGGTTGAACTGGAACAATAATTTACGTAAAGGGCTTGTAAGAGTACGCTAGTATCACCTCGTTGTTCCGTGCATACTTTCTGAGCTTTCTGGTGGCTGGTCTTGTTCGGTATGAGTGATAAAAAAATATGGAGTTCCAAAAATTGCGTTGTGGTATAATTATTATATAATTTATATAGTTAAGTTTTTTTTTAAAGAAAATCAGTTGACAATATTTTAAATAGCTAACTTCTATTACATATATTAAAAAAAATATCGTATACAGAAATTATTAAATTAGATATAGCTGATATTTAGTAAAATTCTTCGCGTCTGATGCAAGATTATAAGGCAAGTAAAGATGCATCTAATTACCTCAGCCATTTGGTTTTATATTTCATTCAAAAAAATTTCAGAAGCGCTTATTATGTACAGCTCTTTAGGGTATTTATATTCTAACAATAATCGGTGCATACACTATATTTCGTTAAAGCCCCATTTACCATAGGTACATGTACGTGTGTAAAAAATATATTATTACAATAGAATCAACCCGTGCATTACTTATAAATAACAACTCCTACAAACAAAGTTCTATAGTTAGTGACTAACATGGCCTTCTTCGTTTGTTTTTGATTACTGTTACTCTTTCTTTCTTAATCCGTTTTTGTCGATGCCCCAACGATAGATCGAGTTCCTGTCGTCGTCTATTAAAACGGTTCATGATAAAACATTCAGGACTATTGGCACATCCACACAAGTGTGGACGTCAGCAGATAAGGAGCTGCGTATCACACATGTATAGAAAGGGCCCAGACGCCAGATGTCATCAGCTGGCTCTCGCACCAATTTTTTTCGTACTCACCTAATCATTCATTAATGATTAATGAACTTACGTAACGCTATTGTTAACGAAAACACACAACGAAGTTGATCGTGAAGATTTATACAACTTACGACAGTTTTTTATGCTGTCAATAGCGGAAGTCAAGGGACATCGTCATTTTCTTGTTTGTTAGCAAAACAAAACTGCGGTAAAACAAACCTGTGGAGTGTAGTGACTCTGCGTCGATCGCAGAACCTGTGGTGATTGTGGTGGATCAAGGTGACTAGGGCCGCACCTTGGTGGGTTCAGTTGCCTAGCTGACAACTGAGACGACTGCGAAGATAGCAAACATATCAGCCATCGTCGCGCCACATAATGTCGACTTCAGAAGATAAACCCCCACCGCCCCCTGTGCGGCTTACATCGGCGCAGGCGAGAAATCCTGCCGCGTCCCTGCCTCTCGAGTTGAGACCATTGCCTCCGGAGCCGTCAAAACACAAACACAAACATGGGGCTGAACCAGCACAGATAACGATTTCGAAGCCAACAAACTTCGCGCACAAAATGCACGTAGGATTTGATCCGATTACGGGTGAATTTACTGGTGAGTTTTGACACATTCCTAGCAAGCATTAATGTAGAGGTTTACACATTTCAGGACTTGTTCGCGTAACGTCATAGGTGATGCAACAAAAAAATTGAGGAGAATGAATTATAAATCAAAGATATGCAGACGAATGGAACAGCGGATATGATTCGTAATGTTACCTGTACAAGATTTAGAAATGAATTTCTTCGTGCAAAGTTTTTGCTCTAAAACTCAAAAACTTGTCATACCTGTTTGCCTTTCATATGCACAAGTGTAAATGTTATTGTTTTATTCGGAATGTTATTTCGTGCAGTTCTTCCATTTATACACCCGTATCGTGATAAGAACAGTCGATAGTTCCTCTACAAATGCATTGAATCCGGCAAATCCATCCCTTTCCTTAAATCGTATACATTTTCTAATAGTCACATTCGTTGTCTCTGATGATTTGTTTATAGGTCTTCCTTCGGCATGGATGAAGCTGTTGCAGACATCAAATATTTCGAAAAGAGAACAGGAAACAAATCCGCAGGCTGTCATCGATGCGTTGAATTTCTACGACAACCAAAAATTGTCGGAGTCCGGCCAAAGCGGTCTTGGGGGCCCCCGCGATATGAGACCAAAGTACCTTATGCAGGGGGGAGGCGGCTATCCATTGTCGACGACTTCTGAAGAAAGTGTGGCTTCAGGTGCCACTGACAAAGTGTCAACGCCAAGCGAGAGCGGTCCCTCACGGCATGTATCATGCGGCAGTAGGACATCAGTGGCATCCGAGGAACGATCCTTGAGTTCGGAAGCGTCGACGGCCGGGACCCCACAAGGAATGCAACCTCCAGGGGTAGCATTACGCTCAAAAGCTCCCTCTCCTCCACCTCGGCCTGAACGGACGAGATCCCTGTACACGAGGCCAGTCTCCACGTTATCGTCGCCGTCACCAATATCAACGACGGTCGCATCGCCCAAAGAGGAGGAGCGAAATCGGAATCTTCCTGGTGGAGAAAATATTGACCTAACCAATAACAACGATAGCGGTGCAGGTGATGCTGGTCAGAGAACTACGCCAGAAGTAACGCCCTGCGTTGAAACGACAACTCTTCACGACCAAGTTGCTACGGAACCGCCTGCCGATAATGATGCAGCGCAGGTACGAACGCGTTCGAGCCAGAAAAAGAAGATGTCCGAAGAACAGGTGATTGAATTGCTCAAGGGCATCATCTCAGTTGGGGACCCACACTCGAAGTACACAAAGCTGAGGAAAATTGGACAGGGTGCGTCTGGGGTCGTGTACACGGCCATTGAGACGGCGACCGGATCAGAAGTCGCTATCAAACAAATGGTCTTAGCGCAGCAACCCAAACGCGAGCTTATCATCAATGAGATTCAGGTGGGTTTTGATGGACAAACTGATTAGCATAGAAGTTTAATGAGGATTTAGATTACACCGGTATTAGGTGCACGTTTAATTACCACGTTGCAAAGCTCTCTATGCGGTTGGTTCTTTTCTTCGATTTTGATTCGCTTTCTCGAGCAGGTTTTGTCAAGACAAAGACCTCTTTCATTTGAATTGGCAGGAATCAGGGGTAAGTGGTAATAGGAGGTTCTATTTTATTAGGATAAGCCTTTGAGAGGAATTTTTCTTGTTCACTTTTGTTAAACGCCTTTGTTTCTTGTTTATATATATATTTTTTTAGACAAAAAGGTGCACAAATACGGATTATATAAAAGAGAGACTATAGTGCAATTTAATGGGTAGTATGGCTTATTAACCCGGAAGCTATGCTGTGAATTGCATTATGTTGAGGGAACGTAGAGGGTCCCTTTACATCATTATATTTACGCAGACTTATACCGCTAGAACGATCAAAAGCTTGTAGATGAGCCAACCAAAATTATATTTTGTACAATGTATTTGTATACAGCTGGATACTCAATATCAATTAAAGGAGGAGACGTTTTAGACACTACGGTACTTCGCCGTTGAGAATATGAAAGCAGACAGAGCGGTTCTTAGATGACTGAAATGGCTATGTACATAATAGCGCCATAGCAGGATTCACCATTCAGAATTCATTTTTTGTTCTGTAATCTGGGTGTGACGATTAGTCTTTGAACTTACGATTGATTTAGTACCAGTTAATTGACATAATAATTATTATTATTAACAGTTAGATATTATTATATATTTATCTTATTTTAGTTATATTATTAACAGTTACTATTATTAAATTGCTAGTTCATGTTCTTCTAGGAACGTCGCATGAGCCATCGTAGAGGGCTAAATATATTGTCAATATGTCTGTGAACCGCCTGTCAGAGTTCATAAATTTTATTAATAGTTCAATTTCAAGTACCTGACTTCCCTAAACTGAACGATTATGTTTCATCCTGTTTTTAAAAATTATCAGAAAGAATATTATCAGGGTTGTATACAATTACCTAGGACCTTTGGGATTTAGGATTGTCTTGAATGTATATCTCACAAATGGGATGTAAAAAATAACGCTAATTATTACGATATGTGTGTTGGTTTTCCAAATTTCAGTGAGAAACGTCTATTGGCTCATCTAACTTACATTGTATCAAATACATTTCAGTTCAACGCATTGTTTGGTTGGAACACTCTGCATTAAGCTAATATCAGGATTCCCAGGAATTACGTATTGATTTTTAGTTGTAGATTTAGTGCTAACCTTCATTACCTCATTTTAATGGCCTCTAGCCAGACCACTATTTAAGACAATGACGTGGTGCAATTTTCTTCCTCGGTTGTGGTTTCTTGAGGAACTTCTCAATCACAAAAAATTCATCATTTTGAACATCGAAAAGTCATCAAGAATACGGAAGATAGTCTGAGTATTTGCTATGTTGGCATCTGACGCTGTTGGCTTTTTTACGTGCGTGTAACAATTTTGCATTACGTCATGCCAATCTCGGTCGAATGTGATGGTGTGTATTATATTGCGATGTCATCGTTTCCAGGACATCAGGGAACAGATCAACGAGATGGCATCTCCAATTTAATTTTTCTTTCCTATAGTCAAAAAAAATATTAAAAGGCATTTTTAAAGGCCCAAGGATAGCCAATAGGGCTGAAAGATATAGAATTTTACCCAGGTCCAATGATAATGCTTCAAACCTTTACAAACTTTTTCGCTTTAAGTGAACCATTGCCATCGCAAAGTAATAAATATTATTGTTGCCGCAAAACCAAGATTTACCACTAGTTTTTGCGAACATAAAGCAATTTCAGGTGAAACACACTGGGAGCGTCGCAGAAAGTCATTAGAATGAACCCGGAAAGTTACCCGCAATAATGACAATTTAAGAGCTAAAGTTTCAAAAGCAGGGAAAATATGCCTTTAATTTTTGTGGGTGTTGGTTTTTAAAGGAGCCGTGTGACTCACACAGTAACAGTCTGAACTTGTAGCGACCGTTCAGAGTTATTGATTTGCCAGATTATTGACAGTCAATTAACGTAAGTCAGATAAAATGAGAGATGAAGCAACGTTCTTAGTTTGATCAACGTGGGTAATCTGTGCGGATAAAGAAGTTATAATTTAATTAAGTCTCCGAGGATTTTTTACCGAATAGAAAAAAGCATTTGCTTTATTTGTGACATTTAGTTACCATTTTATGTATACCTCATCATTGTTCACGACTTTCGCCGAAGTTTCCACTAAATGATGTGTGCTGTGTTGTCTGAAAGTAGCGGGTTTCGTCTCAAAATTTCCTAGCCGTGTTTTGTGTTGTTTGTCCGTGTCGAAGGTAAGGCTACAAAAGTGATTGTTCAAAGGATGGAAAGGCGAAAGGGGATGCAGCGGAACCTTTCATCTGGAGTCCAAGAAAGCAGCTTGGACGACGCTTGCCGTGTGTGGTTTCGCGTTATCATAGGGCAGAATGACCCAACAGAGTAATTTGATTGACTCGATGCAACTGCGCTAAATACACGTGCCGACAGACTCTGTTTAAATTAAGCCTTTGCAACCCCATCAAACACAAAGCGTAGTATTTTTTTGGGTTAAGATCTGTATGGACCCTGGGCTTTGGCTTCTCTTCTGGACCCACCAAATTCTATCTTTGATTTATATTCACGCAAAGACATCACTTCTTATCCTGGGTGGCGATTTCCTTCTAAAATCAGTCATTGTAATTGCGTGACGCGCGATACCGGATGAGATATTGAGGTGATTCCTAAGCCGTCCTAATTCCTTGGTTGGATTTAAAAAGTTGGGTATGAGAGCATGATACGACGCACAGGAAAATGAAGAGATTTCCCATTGATCATAACAAATCGACGCTTGAATGTTGCAAACTTTGACTGTGTCTTCGGCAATGCTTGCTTTGTTTGGTGGACGATGTTAATCTTTTTTTTGGTTTGAACTTAGTACATAGCTACTACATAGCTAACTTTTGTATGATTTCGTTAATTACGATGTTTCGGAACACTCTAGGTTCTAAAGTCATTGCGGCATCCAAATATTGTCAACTATTTAGACTCTTATTTGGTGCAAGGCGTACCGTGTTCAGTGCCACCCAGTGGCGGCTCTGCAGGAAGCGGTCAGATGGAGCTGTGGGTTTGCATGGAGTACTTAGCCGGAGGCCAGCTGACGGACGTCGTCACAGAAACGCTCCTCGACGAAGGACAAATTGCAGCTGTACTCCGAGAGGTAAATTATCGACGTCCTTATTTCTTTATCTCGAGTGAATTGTTTACTCTAGCGAACTTCTCTACTGATCCTGTGTGTGTTCTTTTTGGCGTAACATCATGACGATAACTATGTAGCTTAGTTTTGGGTAAGTGCCTTTATCGGCTACTATCAGTGGTTCATTATCATGAGTTTCGTATATTACAATTTTACTTATTTTCATGTTAGTCCGAGGACGAGGGACCCAGTAAAGGATTCGTGTCGCCACCAATTTCAAATAACACAAAGGAAACTTAAGGAAATATAGCTGATGTTAGCGTTGTTGCCCTCTCCAACCTGTGTTGTTTTACAGCTTCGGATGAAAAACAGTAAAAGTATCGGATGCATCTATTTAGCAGAGGTAAACGGTCGATATAGGCACCTCTGGTGGCTTCTGAGAAGCAGGAATTGCTTCTTTTATTCTATCAAGGTGTCAGCTAAGTTCTCCGTGCTCGTCGTTTAATTGTGTTCGATTCATTACTTTTTGCTGTTTTCGATTTATTATCGACTAGCAACTAGCAGAAATGCTTTTCCCTGTGGCATACATCCGTAAAAGTGCGTAATTTCACGTTAATGCAAGATAAAGAAAATCAAAGGAACGGTAAGACAATAATGTCGTGAGAAGGGCGTTTTATGGATGATTTTATGGATGAGAAAAACGGCTTGTCGTTACTGAAACTTAAATGGGTGTTCTTGGGTAAATTAATGTAGATGTTCTATTAGATAGGATATGGAGTAAACGAGATATTCTAAGAATTAAAAAAATCAAGCTTGAAAGGTAAGCAAAATTTACCCTCCAAAAATTGTGTATTATTCTAATACTTGCCGATTAGCCGCGCAGTAGCGTCATCGGTTCCCTCTACGATTGTGGCCATCAACCATCAATTGTAAAACGGAACGTGTGAATGGTTTAAGAAGCTGGGTTGAGTGGATGGCCGCGGTCGGTTGATATTTCTCGTAGAGGTGGAGATCTCCTGCTTTCCCTACAAGTTTCTGAATAATTATGTGTAATCATTTGTTGTACCTTTCCCGTGTTGAACACAGGTGCTGCTCGCGTTGGAGTTCCTTCACTCGAAGCGTATCATTCACCGAGACATCAAGAGCGATAACGTCTTGTTAGGTATGGATGGAGGTGTCAAACTGACGGATTTCGGCTTTTGCGCTCAACTGGGAGGCGCCGCAGAGGCGCATAAACGATCTACGATGGTTGGCACACCATACTGGATGAGCCCGGAGATCGTGACGCGGAAACAGTATGGGCCAAAGGTAACAATACATCCTTTATAGTGTTGACAACGTGGGGAAGCATGGAGTATTGGAAGTTCAGTGGTGGGCTGTCTTGATACATTTGCTTGGTACTGGAAATCAGTAACCTATTGTAGGGTCACACAGAAAGAAGCCGGAACGATGTGGTTCAGTAACAATGCAGAGTGAGAAACATCTTATTTCTACTGCCATATATTGCGTCATCAGGAATAATGATGTTACCTAATGAGATGCTCTCTTAAAAACAACCTGTCGAGTAGGGTGCCGCAGAATAAATTGTCTTATTAGTTATATATATATATATATATATATATATATATATAATAAATCAAAGCCTTGAAGTGAAATATATTTTCACCGTTGAGCAGGTTTAACTGGTTTGCACTAAGGTAAAAAGATTTTGAAATCATGTGTGTTTACAAAGAAAAAAAACGATCAACCTCTGTTATATTTGGAACGCCGTTAAATGTGAAGGTCAGAACTCCTTCTGGTCGACCTATACGGTTGTTGAGTGTGGTTGTTTGCTATTCAGTAAACACAGATTAATGTAGTGGGGGCAAAGCTTTTTTGCGTTATAGTAAACGATAAGCCATAAACATTGTCTACCTAACGAGAGAGTTGCGTGTTAGCTCTTTCGTCTCTTTATCAAATCTCAAGGGAGTTTACATGTTGCGAATAATTGATTTAATTACATCGTTACACAGCTTGCAGCACTGCAACGGTAATACGTTATTTTTGTTATTGTAGCTACGGAATAATTGCTTGCTTGCTTGCTTTTCACACTTCCAGGTAGATATTTGGTCACTGGGAATCATGGCTATCGAGATGATCGAAGGGGAACCACCGTATCTCAACGAAAACCAACTTCGAGCGCTCTACTTAATTGCAACCAATGGCAGACCAACAATTAAGGAACGTGACAAACTCAGTCCACTTTTGCAGGACTTCTTGGACTCCTGTTTAACGGTCGACCCTAACCATCGGCCGTCGGCCTCGCAGATGCTTCAACATGCGTTCCTCAAACTGGCACGGCCTCTAATTACCTTACATCCATTGATCGTTGCCGCTAAGGAAGCAATCAAACAGCACCAATAGATGAAAAAAGTTAACAAGCTACTACATCAAATAGCCTTGAGGCATAAAAAACGCAATTAAAAAAAGAAGACAGCTAACATAATTGCTGCTTTACTTCATCTGCTGACGTAAATGTCGCCTGCAGTAAACAATCACTGATTTCAGGCATAATAAGAATGATTTTCAGTGGTCGTGACACACGTGTTGTAGTTGCTGGATTAAGTTACCTCTTTCAACAAATGCAAAAAACGAAAAAAAAATCGATACTATTAGGAAACAGGTACTACTACAATAACGAGAGGTAGGTCTACAGGCGCCAAAACTCCGCCCAAAATGAGGTCCAGGTCGTTGTTTTTCCGTCAATTATTGAACCCACGAACTGACGCTTAATATTTAGCTGAAGCAGAACATGGGGCTGACTGACCGTAGCAGCTTTGACAAGCAACAATCCTTGGAGGAGTCATTTAAACGAATTTAAGTATGAAGTCTTATTCATCCGCCATACTCTCGTTGATTGTGCGAAAGAGCAAATAGTAGAGAGTGTCAACGAAGTATACAGTAGCGCAGCGTAAACAAGAATTAAGACATCTCTAATCTATTGCTCGTTCGCAAAAAGAACTCATTGACCGGTAAATTCATTGATTCGTTGGAGAAAACTGCAGGCTTGTTGAAGTATAACCGTTCTTAAACCACAGTAATAAGTGCAACACCAGGGGGGAGAGAGTGAACGGCGCCGCTCTCAACATCTCACAGAGTCGAATCCCATCGCTATGTGAGGCGGCATCGTTAGTACGAGAAAGAACTACCAGGCACGTCGAAGAACAACGGAATTTCCATATGGTCGGTGTCGTCAACGTCTCGGTGGCGCCAACAATTACCACTCGCAGAATCACATGGTAAGAACGTAATTTTCGGCTTGACATTCGAACTGCATAGAATAGATATTTCAGCTGCAGAGGCTGACCCTATTATCGTTTAGTGAGGCTGACATCTGCATAACATTATGACTCCACACCCCTATACCCCTTTATGGATTCGGCAGCAGCGTTAGACACGAACTTTGGTTGGACTTAACGCTGGGATATATTTGAATCACAGTAGTTTGGCAAGGCAGTATATGATTAAATTATGTCTGGTTAATTAGGACGCGAAACGATGGTTTATGTCAGTCATTCACTAGCTTCCTTAAGACTAAATGGGCTTCAAGCAAGTTCTGGATGGACATTTCACCTAATTCAGCTTTGCTATGTGTTTAGGGTAGCCGCGGAGTGTTTTGAGGCTCCTAAAAACGCTTTGACCATAACGGCGATTATATACACAAACATTACGCAAGTTGCATACTGAAGGCCAGCTTTTAGGGCACAGCGAAGCTGGTCGAGGTAATATTGTTCTTGTTTAAACGATTTATTTGATACGGCCGTGTTTGCAATGGCAGACAAGATCGGGATGCAGTAAGCATATTCTCTTTTTGCAGTTTGGTTGTCCTTTAATAACGGCCATTGTACTAATTAGCTCTCTTACTGGAAAGGTTAATGTGCTAGCTATACAAAATTAGTAATCATATATATATATATGTATATATATGATTACTAATATATAGTATGTATATATATATATTATATATACATACTATATGTATATATTGTGTATATATATTTCTTGCGGTTTTACCTGTGATTTGTTTTCTTTACGCAAGTTTCAATTCAGTAAGTTGCTTTATGGAGCTGTTAGAATAGCTTCCTTTATTATATTTTACGTTCATGACACATATTACTCAAAAGTATAGCAATTGTGCGAAAAGTATGGCCTCATTAAAAAAGGTCAGAACACTCTCGAGTCAATTAAATACAAATAATTACTAGCAGTAGGCCAAAAGAATAAAATTTGAAGTACGTCATGCTTGTTGTTTCAGCATTACGAACAAAGAACGAGTGAAAAAGAGGAACCTTCTAGGGATGGAAGTCCTAATGTGCGGATCCACATTATGTACAGCAGACCTCATTTCTAGTCATTTTCTACCGAAATTGAGGGCTTTTGTCTGCATTCTATAACCATAATGCGCATTAAACTTACTCATAACCGTTGATACTTGTGTTCAACTGTGGCCAGAGACCCAACAGTAAGTGAATTGACACTCTGCCCTGTATGCTATTCAAAATGCTTATGGGTAGGACAAGATGCAGTAGGACGGTGCCGTTATGATAAACTGATAACGTGCCACTTTTTTGATGTATGCTTCCAAAGATAGCGGTTGGTTCCGAATTTCGGATCTGCCGAATAGGTTTCATATAAATCGAGCACTGCGTTTAGTACGAGATTCAAGATCATTCGATCTACCAGAGCAGTCCCGTTGCTTGGCTATTGCAATCACTTTAGTCTAAATGATTGTGATTACAGATTGTGTTTCTAAGGATAAACTGAAAATTTTTTCTACAAAATCTTGTTTGTGTTTGAATTTTCTGTCATTTCTGTTAGCGCGAGTCGCTTCCACTAAGGTAGTCTTTATCGGCTAAAAATACCTGATCTCTTGTATCATTTATTATAACGTAAAAATTGTATCACCTATATAAAGGGTATAAGCTAGGTCTTTTAGGGCTGATATGCACTGCAGAGGATCGGGCCAAGCGTATGTTATAGTTAAGGGTGGTTATTGCGAGAATTTATTTGTTGTAATATCGGAAGATAGTCTAGCTGACAGCTTCTCTAGTTCCGCCAAAGTAACTGCCTGTGTCGAACTATGGTAAGCCATAGCGTGTCTCCGTGCTTTACTAGCTAAATTGGAATTTGAGTCTTAATCTTTGGACAAGGGGAATTTTAGCTTTACGCGGATACCCATGGATCTACAGTGGCGACAGGATGTTTTCAAATAATTTCAGTTTAAAGTCAAAAAAGTCGTATTATGCTACAAAATATTATATATATATCTGAAAATTACATAGAATTGAAGGAGTCGACTTTTCTTTGCGCGCATACGTCTTCCTTGTCTCTGTAGAGAAAACAATTCTCACAGACCTTTCTTTTTTATTCTTTCTTCTTTTTAATTGATCTCTGCCATGTTACTTTTCCTAGAATTTAAAAGGCAAAATGTCTCCGTTCCCAATAAGCCCCAACAGGTTAACATTTTTACGTATTCAGCTCTCACCCCCAAAGGACTGAACTAAAATTTTGGGAATTCCTTCAAAAATGTCTAAATGTTTTGAAAAACGAACGGATCTGGAAACTTTTCCCACGTACGATTCTCATTCTCTGTGCATATGGTCCTGATCTGATGTGTACTGCTTACCAATAAATATATCATGGGATGACATACCGAGAGAATTGATGAGCATTGTCGTGTGTGAACGCACCAACTCACAGAAGAAGTCATATTTCGTGGAATAAAAAGTTGTTTGTCCTGCATCGGTTACGTAACGCCAGGGTATTAACCCATAATAATCGTGGTGCTGAAGAAATTTACAACATTTAAAACAGATGAAGATGTGAAACGTATTTCGACGCTCCTGAGGAAAGTTGGGAATTGGAAAGTGAGTGGAAATTACAAATGGAATAAGATATAGTGACGTATCCATGCATTTTCGTAATATCTGTAACCAGTAGCTCATAATTCAAAACCACAGAAGTACAGCTGAGGAAGTTTGTCAAAGAGGTCATCAGAAGGCTCAGCGGCCGAAGTCTTTCCTCTGCTGGCGAAACTCTTATAGCAGCGTTGGCTATATTTGATAACTACAGATTCGTTTATTTAGGCATTTTTGTTCCGATCAGTCCTCATCTTACATAAAGCATAAGCTGATACTCATATAGGATATGTATTTTGTAAAAAAAAAATGCATTGCTTCAGAGCAGAAATAAGTCAAGTTGCTACTATTTATCATTCTGTGCATTGCGCTTCTCACATATATCGTACAGTTTAGTATTTCTCGGTAGATTTGTGAAAGACGTATGTTAGCAAAGGGAAAATGAGGTATAGAAGTCTGTATTGGGGGCTGGTGTGATTCGTAGAATGTGACCTTGAAAATTATTCAGCTTATTTGCCATTAGTGGAAAGCTTGAATGGAAATTCAGCGTAGTTTCTTCCCATACCGTGTTCGCTTATCAGGTGCTTTTTTTTTTAGCTGCTTGATGATTTTGTGGACGCGGTACTACCTCGTGTATTCGTTAGTTTCGCCGGTAGCAACAGCTCCCTTTTATCTGAGGACCAGTGACTTACCATCCAATATAGGATCAGTCGAAAACTTCCTTCAAGTCGAATCCACTTTCAACCGAATGCTATTTCTGTAATAGATCGATAAACACTGGGAAATTCCTATAGTTGATAACTAGAGGAAATGCTGTTTTGGAAACATGGATACAAAGGTAGTGGGAAAATGTGTTTGTTTACTTCGCTAACCTTCGACGCTTGACATCGATCTCCAATGTCAACATGATATTTTCCTACATATTTAGTGTCTCACTACGCTAACTATGTGTCATTAGTTCTCTCTATCGCTCTAGTTCCTCTATCGCTGCAGCGCATCGGAAGTACTACGCAAAGACCTGTTTTTCCGCTTGATCTGAGTTAGCGATTTTTCGAACGTTTGTTTACCGCCACCACCATTCTAGGGCTTCCCACAATCGATACCTAAGCAATACCATTCTAGTAATGTTGGTGACGTATTACTCACAGACGCGAATGCACGAGAGTGATACCGAGATGTTCTGCTCTACCCATACTCAAGAAACGAACGCGCATTGCGCAAATCGCTAGGTATATGTATTGATCCGGGTCTTATCAGAACAAGGGTGTTCAGTTGAAAATAACGTCTATGATAATAATAACTTGTATTGTAGTCGCACTGTAAAAACACAGCGGAGGTACTGACGCCAGCGTAATACCTGGTCTCGCTTTGTTCCCTGGCTTATTGCTTACAAGCATTGCTCAAGGCTGGTAGTGATGTATATACACCAGGTTTGGCTAAAGGAAACACAAACGTATCGGGTACAAAAGGAAGAAATATAGTACGCGAGGGCAAAGTACATTGATATCGATCGGGTGGTGTTGTTGTCGTCATGAGCGTGACAACTGAAGTTGTTGCCATAGCTCTATGATTGCTGTTTATAATAGTAGGAAGCTGCATCGCTAATGGCATGGCAGATATAGCGGTAACGGGTGAGAAGATGCGGAAGAATTGAAATTTATTGGAGAACGCCACAAGCGATTGGTTATTATATAGAGTGGACATTCTGCCCAAGATCTGGTTTGTTGCTGCTGCTAGAATTGCTAGCGACATTCGCTGATCGGACTCGTCTGTTTAGTTAGTGAAACCCTGTCTGGGGGATTATGATCGAGAGTGGATAGATAGACGCTCAACAGCTCAGCGCTAGGTCCCAACCTTTTTTCTTAAAGGAATTCGACCGCCGATGATTAAAAAAGATCGAAACGAAACACAGGAAACTCTCTATTGGTACACACATCTAGACGGCCTGGTAATGCTTGTAATGTTCATTTCCTTTATAATTGCTACTGGGCCTCTAGGCTGACCCAAAGAATGGGGATTCACTGGAGAAGTTCTGGCACGACGTCTCAGCCGATGCAAATGTATATGAAAAATCTGCTGTCGCAAGGAACAATGCCAGCCTATAATTCATCGTAGTGCGATCCGATTTTACAGAGTGTAAATCCAGAAGAGATACCTAGTAATGGTGGAATGCACGGGATACTTTAAATAAAACGATTATTAAAACAAATATTTCGCTCTGACGTATACATCTAGAGTTCCAGCAACCTTGTGTAATGCAGTGGCTGATTAAACGTTTGGAAGGAGTCGTGGGTTGTGTATCGTGGCGCTGCAGAAATGGGGTTATTATGGTTTTCGTTGCGTGTTACGCAAGATCCGCCTACGCCACTTGCTGATGCGTTCAGGTTAGGATTTCAACAGAAAGCTTTGAGTCAAGAACCCGCAGAGTTCTTGACTCATTAATGTTACTTAACGTTATTAAGTAACATTAAGTGTTACTTAATGTGGACTTGATCAGTGGCTGTGCAGGAAAGAAAGTTCTGGAATCACGCAGATACCGGCCATTTGTATGTTAGGCCAGTTTTTCGGAACGGAGATTGTCGTTTGAGAGAGAGACAGACAAACAAACGGATATCGAGTTTTTGTAATACAGTAGATTACTAACCAGCTACCGATTTTTTAGTTTTAACTGTTACCTGTACAGCTGTCAAAAATTTTTTATTGTAGGTGTAAGGTCTTTTGAGTGAACGAACATGCCTAATTGAGGGCCTAGATGAATTCATCGCTTGAACACGTTTCTGATATGTCGAACTTTGACCACTTTCTAAATATTTGGACTAGAGCTAATACTCTCCAAAAATCTTGGATTACATAACAAGCTCTTTTGTGAAATAGCAGTTCATGTGACAAAAAGCAGAACTGAGTTTTATATGTTTTATGCTTATTTCATTCCCATTCAGTGTAAACTTAAAAAGGAATAGTTTGGAGTCCGGGATCCGCTTAAACTCCGAGGTGTTTTTCTCTAACATTTATTCGAACTATTTTACTGCAACGTTAAACTGAAGGCCGAGAATGACTGATGTCAAACCATTGTTGTTTTCGCTGTTATTAAATAGGGAGCTCCTGAGATTCGCTAAAGACTGGGGTACAAAACAGAAAAGGTTGCTTGTACTGGAGAGTTTCGAAGCACCGTGGCAGAGACTTGGTAGAAGCAAGGTCTGTTCAAAGCACTGAGAAGATTTTTTATATTATTGTGTTGAATTATAACATGTAAAAGTCGCGCGCCTTACGCTCGGTACTGTAGCGTAGCCTGTTATTGAAGCTTAACAAAGTTCGTAACAAAGTATTTCGTTTTATAATCTTTATATACAGTTTTATAAACAGTATGCCCGATGCGCCTTGTAGTACGAGTGCGTATGTAAGCCACGTAGAGATTCAACCCAGTAAAGCCGTTAGATTGGCTCTATTTAATCATTTCAAAAAGAAATTCAGACTTTTGCAACTAACTCTTTCTATGGCGTCGCGGCGGCTCGATAGGTCGCGGGTCCTACGTAAACGGGTAACCTTGCCTGTGGACCACTGGCCTATGTTATAGCAGAAATGTCTCAGTGATGCGTTGTAGTTTACCTCTCTTTAAGCAGTAGTAGATTTGAGTCGTTTGATAGTAAATTATTACTCGTTATTAGCAATGTGGCTTGTCAAGAGTGCGTTCGCTTTTTCGTTTGTCGTCTTTAATAGAACTGTTGAAACCATAAAAAAGTAAAGAAACAATCATGTGACAGTGCTATGGACAGGAAGTTGAAGATTTCGGTGTGTGTCTTGACATGTGTAAGCATTTCGCATGAGATATTGCACAGAATCAATTCGGGGACTCTCCTGAATCTGTTAGCGCTCGTAGGTCACAGTAGTTCCAGCGGAGGGCACGGAGCGGGGACAATCCACACAGCAGATTTGATTTATTGCTCGTGACGGACATAGTAGTCTTTGTATATTTTTCTCTGTACATTTTTGCTGGACTGCATGCGCATTTTGTGTATATATATGAGATTATTAAATCCACGCTTTTGTTGCGAAACGTTGAAGTGTTGGTAGTGATTCTCTGGCCCAAAAATTACTTTCTAATCAGACACGTTTTTACGGCATTTTTAAGAGACAATGTTCTTACCATATTCTTATAATGAGCTTACTCTATAACGGATTTTGACAGACTTCGCGCGCGTAGTTGACCCTTACCAATACTGCTGATGCCGTTTCACGGATATCACTACCAACTACGTCAATGTTTGTGTGAAAAAAAAACATGAATAGCTTAAAAGATACTACTCTTTTTAACAGTTACAAGAAAAACTTTTAAGGAAGGCCGGGTGTAAGCATACCAGACTGCATTGTTTCGGTTCTTATATTTTTAAAGAATTTCTTAATTTGAGTGCTGTTTTCGGTAGTCTTTTAGTAGTGAAACTTCTTCTAGGAGTTTTAACTTTAGGACACTTGGGTGGGTAGCAGACAGACACCAATAATCCACCCGGGATTTGTCGTAATTGGATTGGAAACCATTTACTTGAACACTCATGCAAAATCTATGGCAGCTTAATCGCATACCCGACGCCGTTTGAATTACGTAGTTGGTTTTACAAAGGAGCTAACTCTAGATACATTTAGACTGAGAACGAAAAGGCCGTGTAAAATCCGCCACTTTGTCTCGCAAGTGCAGGATAGGACAAAAACTCAAAAAATAAGCCAGGTCGATTCGATATTGTTAGTGAATAATTATCAGCGGCGAAGGAAACTGATAATAATTGCAGTTAGCAATAAATCTCTCTTTGAAGTCACCTTATCCCATTTACCAAGGACGTCGACTAATTTAATGATAGCAAATTCTACCACATTGAATTGTTTCAAATATGAGCAGCTTGATTGTGCAGTAATTAAAAATTCTATTAACCGAATTGGTCGAATAGTTATAATAATCATTCTAAAAAAATATCCTTTTCTGTCATCTCTTTCAATGTTAATCTACTGTACCCAAAGGCATATAATCATATACCGTCGCATTCCACGTTGGAAGCTCGTGTTGCTTCTATTGACAGACGGATTTCGATTTCGTCCTTTTTTCGTTTTTGCAGGCCAACGGGTTCAGGTATAACGCAAAAACCAATTTCTACGTCAGAACATCATTAGTTATACCATGGTAGTCATGAGGCTTTTAGCCAATGGGCTTGTTACAGTGTAGCCGGTGGTGTCCACGTTCATCAGTGGTACTATCACGTGAGCACGGTTCTTCTGTTCGTCACGATCCCGAAACGAGGATCACAGAAACGGATCGTCCGCTGTACAGAAATGGTTGTCTGACAATAAACAAGAGCGACGCAAGAGCGTCGAACCATGAGTCAATACACTTATGTAATGTGACAGTCGGAAGCACGCCAAGAAGGATTTGACAGAAGATAGAGATTCTTGGCTTTAGCCGAGTTTGGGTTCGGATAGCCTCATAGCTCGGGTCTGGAATTTTTCGAACTTCACTGCCACTACTATTACCCGTAAGGTGCACGCGCTCGACAACATCGACAGAAAACCCACAATTGTACGCAGCCTTGCAGGTAGCTTTAGGTCATTAGTTCCGTTTGATAAATGGACTTACTCATGAATAGATCAGTGCAGTGCTGAGATGTTTTCCTCCGTATGGCCCGCATCACTTCGCGCCATTGTGCGAACAAAATCTGAGCAACAACGATGCGCAAATGCTATACATAGTTAGCAAGGTGATACCCCTAACCGCATGAATACTAGCATTTCTAGAGACAAAAAGGAAAACTTGCGTCGTTTTTAATGTAAATACGACCTTCTAACTTCCCTATATTATCTCGGAGCGAGCAGTAAGCTCGATACAGGCTCATACTGACACAGTCAAGATAGTTGCGTTTACTTCTCAGACAAAATCGTGTCATCTGTTTCGGAAAAAATGTGTACTTAGGATGTCAGGCTCACGTCAGTTCCGTAAAAAAATATTTGCACCAATACACACATCTTCAAAGTTCTCGATGAGATTCGGCGTGATATCTCTGTGTAAAGAGCTCGAGCGCAAAATTACTGAATGGCAGTGCACCGCAGGTCCTAAATTTGCGTAAAATCCTATATATCATTAGTAAAGACTTTCACATTTTTTATCGAGAAACTTATAGATACTTCTGAATAATACTTGCTTTAAGCCCAGAAAACAGTAGCATTTTGGCAATCTGTTCAGGAAGATTAATAACGATAATGATAATTAACTTGAATATTCGACAAATGAATGAAGGTATCTTGCTGCATTAAGAATCCTCATATTAAATTAAAACATAGTTCGTTTTATTTTTTAAAAGTATATAAATTTTAGTGCCTACGAAATCACGTGGACTTTGGTGTCCGATTATAGATATTCATAACTGATGTGGGCAAAATAGTTGCTGGGGCTCAATGCATTAGCGAAACATTTAGCGACTGAAGCTTTGCCTATAATAAAAATCATTGTTTTCCCTTTATATCAGAGTTCATATCGGATAGGCAAAGCCTTCATACGTTATGTCAGAAACAAACAGTGGAAAAAAACTATACAAGTTTGCTCAGAACCTCTTAATGTGTACCGGAGTAACTTTCAGTTAACTTTCATATTATGGCAATTATTTCTGAGAAATAATTTAGATCTACAGTATGTTTAAACGTTAACTACGAATTTGTCCTGACCATATTCTAGGCTGGTCATATAAAATATAATAATGTTTTCTTAGTCTAAAGGTCTTTAAAGCCTTAAACATCACTACATGGCTTTTTGTCTTATTGTCACATCGTATTCCTTTTTTGCAGGTACGTTGACTGTTCTATGATGATGTTCCATGCGTAACATTGATGAATTTACTATGCCCAAACATTGTCACCTTTTCCGTTGAAATCGAACCACTTCACTGAACTGTGGTACGACGTCGTCTGATTGACTCCGTGGACGCTCGGTTGGTTAGAAAGGACACAGCAGCTGAATGCTTTCACTAACGTAAACTGGGATGCATTCTGTACCGTAAATATATATTTATATAATACCGCGACACTTGTAGACATTAATTAGTCTACGATGCGTTTACGCGTCATTCGTAGGAATAAGAGATCGAGTCTCAATATCTGATGAGGACAGTAAGACACTGTGTTTCATGGTTTGAACGGAGATTGTCATATGAGATGACATAGCGCAGATCAAACGATGCATAACGAACTAACAACAGGATGAAGTTTAGGGAGGTTAACATGTGACGTCGAAAAGATATGTACATAGTTAGAATGAACACAAAATAGAAGGAACAAAACAAGAGGTGACCTTGTAAGAAGGAGTTACTAGGACAAGATGGTGCACGCCTCAGTTTGCAGGAAAAGATTCATTTATCTTCCGGAATCTTTCCCTTCCGTGATAGCAGAAGAAAAACGAAAACAATGACGGCGAGGAGGAGAAGGAGAGAGGAGAGAGAGCGTAGCACGGGGAACAAACATTCGGATTAGCTGGTGTGCATTACGTGATTGCGACATTCACGGTCTGGACGTTTTGGGACGATAGACACTAAATTTCGGGAAACCTGATTGAGGCTTATAGGAGTTGCTCAGATGTGAGACAACTACGCTCTGACAACCGGCTGAAATTTCCAACTCACGCATTCGGTACACATACTTGATCGACCTCGGCCGATTCGGGATGTTAGGCTGGATAACGGTGGGAAGCTAATCAGGGGTAAGGAGAATTTAGCTATTATTTAAATTACTAATCCATGAACTCACCCATTATAATAGAACGACAACAATAGTAGTTAAGAAGTAGTAATGCTATGAATAATACTAATAAGAATAATATAAATATGCATAATACCATGTACACTTAGTGTCATGTTGACGTTGAAATACATATACTCTCTCATAATACTGCGCTGTTATAATGGCACGAGTATTACCACGCACACACACACAAATCGTAGGCGAATAAGCAAACACAAAATAGACTACGACCCATTTGACATGTTGAAGGCCATTAGGCCGCTGTAATAAACATAATTTTATTCTAGTAGTATTTAGTCTGAACAGTAATGCTAAAAGAGCGTAAACCGTTGACGAATTTTAATCAGTTAAAAAGTAAGCTTGTGATGCTGGTATAAATGGTGATTAATAACAATAACAGTAGTAGCAGACGACTATAAACAGATTCAAGGGATGTCCCCGAGATGGCGTTGTGGGTAGCATGTTTACCTGCTAAAGATATTGGATGGCCTGGGTTCGAATTCGAGCGTAGGTCACCTCGTTTCCTGCTGGCAGTACTTGAAACATTTAGTTTTCTAGTGAGACTAGATTTCTGAAAACCACAGAGGCCCAGAAATAAATGGAAACTTGCATATCTAGAGAAAATCTAAAGAAAAGCATAGAAAAACATGATATACGCAGGCAAAACGACATACAGTTTAATATATTCAAGCACATTGATATATATCGAATTGAATCGCAAAAAAAAACGGTCGTAGTGTTGATTGATTCGTAGTTAGTCAAACGCATCCAATGGTTCGCAGTGAAACTGGAGCAGCGAAATGATCTAGCGCTGCGATGGATGACTGAAATTATCAATTTCACCATGCTGTTAGCATGTTGCTTATTCTGCCAGGGCAGGTGGTCAGTGGACCTGTATAATACAATTCTCCTCAGTTTTACCTCTTAATCAATAATCGACGAATATACCTTGCATTTTTATTCGAAGGGAATGAATCATACTTTGTTTTTATTCTCTAGCCATACCATTTACGGTATCGAATTTTAGCGGACAAGCTTTTTTGGGGACCACCTCTTTTAAGTGCAACTGCCAATTTAATAGCTTTGTGATGCAATAGCTTCAAATTGTTTGCACTAAATTGCAATAAGCTTGTCTAGTTCGGTATCGATTCTGCGCCCCAAAGGCGCCATACTAAAAAAAAAAATAATAGACAAAGCTCCGCACTGACTTTGGTAGCAATAGGTTTAGTTGTTTCAGAGTTCAGTAACAGAACAGACCTGGAGACAGGGAGACACACGGAAACACAAGTACAGCAATAGATTTGTACATACGCATTTAAACACGTCTATAGACAGGCAGATTGGATACTAAAGAGATAAAAAATAAGAAAGCCTGCTCCGAATCTAACATAGAAGGAGAAGTTTGTTACAAAATTTACGAATGATGGCTGAATCGATTAAAACTATACGAACGATATAAACAAAAGTTAATAATAATAAACAAAAACCAATCAAACGATAAGCTCGAAAAACGAATTCATCTACCCAAACACAAGAGTTATGAAGCATGATATAATACGAATTGACTTATTGTTGCAGCTTTGCTACAGTAGAAATGACGAATGTATGATCTATCTTATATGAAAATTACGACGGGATAATCTGAGATCGATATTCCACTGTGGCCAGTTTCCTTTGTCGCTCTGGACGCTTGACACGTTGCAATCGACGTGCGATCCAATCGTGGCGGTGGAGGCTATTATAGTGGAAAACGTGTGATTCAAATTAGGATGGATTCCAGTTGAAATAGTAATCTATTAGATAGAGATTGCTGTGTTTGTTTTATCTTGAAGAGAAATCATTTTTGTAAAAAGAACGGCCTAAAAACTCCATACGGAATACTACATTATTAAGGGGGTGTTGAAAGCCGCTGATGGTAACGGAACGTGATGTAGCTAGGGTGAAAGACGGGCTTGGTCGATGAAAACGAGGACAGCTAATAAGGATAAACAGGAGAAAGGACTGACGTCGGTTCTATAGGGAAGGGCTGTATGTGTACCTGTATGACGTGTGATGAGAACGATGATTACGATCCTGATGGCGAACTTAGAAGATACGGAATGAGCATGGTAAGCTGGCCGATGAACTAGTCCGGTTTAAATGCTGGGACAGAGAAAGAATTAACAAGTAAATATGACAGAACAAGCTAGATAAAGGGTGGAAATAATTAACGACGGGAGAAGAAATGGTATTGATTGCGAACGATACATAAAATGAATAATAGAACGCAGTACGGACGCGTAAAAAATTGATGACTGATGATCTGGTCGATAGACCGATGACGACTGCTGGTACACAGTCTCCAGTGTAATGTAATAATGAAGTAATGATAAAATATATATATATATATATATATATATATTAATGAAAGATAACAATAATAATTATTATTTTAAGATGCTAAACACTAAGAGCGAACGAATGGGTTTATGAAGGTGACACCTCAAAACTCACAAAAACAGAACACACAAAAATATAGAAAAACGGGAGGAAGTTGATTATGATGAAACGTATTTGCCGAACTTAGTGACGAAGCGGCAAAGAATTAACGATGTGGTCCTCTTTCTCGAGAAATGGCTCACAGATGGAACAACCGTCGAGAGATTGAGGAGAATTGAATTGCTGGAAAAGAGTAACAGAAAATAAATGTAAATGATTCAATGCTCCTTATGATTGTAAAGGTTTATTATGTTTTTATCTATTCACTGTGCCTTGCCTCATTTTGCTTGTACCTTGCGTGACAGACTTCTTATATCTATGCATAGAAAATGGCACGAAACCGTAGGAGCCACGGAAAACTTTTGTAGGTTTCCTTCAAATGCTTCCAGTTATAAAGTGATTAAATAATAAATAATACTTAAAAGACGCGGCGTTAAGCTTTGATTTTTTTACGCGTAATGTTTTACATAGTATTTTATTTTTGTTATCTGTTTATCATGTCCGTATTTTAAATTTTCGATTCAGTTCGATCGTTTTCCTAAGATCAATTCTTACCCCTTTTTTTCTCGCAATAATTTAATAGGTTTCGATTTGTCGTCTTATGTTCGTGCGCTTTTTTTTTGCTTCACATATGCTTTAATTTATAAAAGATGAACATACATAGTTGTTTTTGATATAAAAAAATATAGGTAAAAAGATAGACTTTAAGATTCGACGTGGAAGCTTCAAGTTTAACATACGTCTAGCTTTTGTTTAATAAAGTGGCGATCGGTTCTAGGGATGACGACGTCCAACTTAATAGTCCTGTTTTATCAATAAGTATCTCGAACCTCTTTTCCATCGGTCGAGAGAGGCTGATGATCATGGGCCCATTGAACGCAGCCAGCTTCTCGAAGAGCTTCATAAGACGTCAGCACCATGTAATTACCTCCGGTCTTTCTAAAATCACTTGCTCAGTGCGATCCAGCATGAATGAACTTTATGATTTCCTGTACATGTATATCTTATATTTGAGGCAAAATCTAGGCGTATTTTTTTCATAGTAGTTTATTGTAGATAATAGATTATAAATTAAACCGGAAACGCCGCGATGAGTCCAATTAGGACCAGTAAACAGTGTAACCAATGAATAACGAGAATTTCTAATGCTTCGTGGTCTTTTTTTACAGAACCAATTTTGTCGTTTTCAACACTTTTGTTGTTAACACCAGTCTCTATACAAGATACATTATTTCAGATCCATACTGATAAATATGACTTGTATCTAAACCGTACTTTATACGCAAAAAGCATATTTTAAGCAGCGGATAGATTGCTTAAATCTATAATCCAGGGTAAGTTTAAGTGTCATTTAAAGTTGCCGTCAAATGTAACTTCATCTTGGCGCCAGAGATATTTATTTCTAGCAGTAGTCAATACCAATACAAAAGCTGTTTCAGCAACACAATGCTCAATGCAGTATTTATGTTCGCACCTTCATAGATTTCTCCGTCACTGTCTGTACTATAATTGAAATTGTTGATAAACAGTGACACTCTTCGGGAATCACCGATGTTTCATATCCTGTCTTCACTGTATTTACTATTAACATTCATTGAAGCCCCATAACAATCTGTATGATTCCTTTACTTAATGGCACCTGTCGACACGACTTAACCCAGCATCTGTGTTTGACTACAATATACAAAGGTTTTTTCCTTGAAAAAAAAAATAGATCTTACTACATTTTACAGGCGGATACGCATATCGAACTTAATTGTTGCGTCGTAACGTTTCTTGTGACTAGAAGTTCCAAAAGAACCAAATCTGTTGTATATAAGTATTTAGATGTCTAATATCATTCTAAAGTTAGGTGGGATTACTGAATGATAGTTCGCAAATTTGTGATGCTTTCAGGTCAGTTACGCTGCATCAACTTTATTTAGATATGTTACATATGTACCCATTCTGGGTAAGTTGCGATACTGTACCCATGAACTGTTTCGTTCAACGTGCGCCGACCTCAAAATATAGCATTCGTATCTACAAGAGCAAATCTATTATCGGCTTTAAGCGGCTATATACAATCAACTACTAAAGTCATTTTGTTTATATCTTAAGATTAGCTCGAAGTTCTCTATATTACCGCGGAGTTGCAGCTTTCCCTAAAAAAATGAGGAGACCTTTATCGTTCTTACAGGGTCACATATACGGATACTGCGCAACTCAATTGACGCATGAAAAATTGCTTAACAACATAACAGGGGAAAATTAAAGGGGAAATATGACAAAGCCTACAACAAGAGCTCGAGACGAAGGCCCATTGTGGTTGGTAAGATTGTAGTGAGCAGGAGAAACAAACAGCTTTAGCTCGATACCGAGACCTTGTTAACACATGTGTCACCTATACAATCAATGAAGGTCGATTGCATCGTCTCGCTGTCGAAGTTTTAGACCGACTGAATGAGAATCCTGAGGAAACCCACCATAAGGTGGGCTGGTATGATTTACCGTGTGCACTTCCTTATCAAAGAGATCGATGCCCTAGACAATTTCCTATAACAAGGTGTGAATAAGTTTCAAGTCCCTATCTTCAATCGTTTTTTATTGGGACAAATGACAATGCTATAAATATGTAAGTAGTCGTGTATTTTTCAACTAGGTATTAGATTGTTACACTTCTGTTTGCGTGAACCCCCCATATATGAAATATAACGGCAAGAAGACAGGCGTTTTTTGCGATGCTGGAACTATCGAACATGAACACTTGCTCTAACGCAGTATCTTGTAATAAACAGAGTTTTAGATACTTACGTATAGTACAGATAGCGCCGGTATTATATTATTTCTCATTATTAATATATTTTAAAACAACAATTAATGATAATATGTCCAGGACGTTTCGAAGTATAATTTAAGGCTGCTTGATATTTCAAGATAGGTCTCGAGGTGTTTGACTGTACCAATGGCATCGCGAAGAAGATCATTGTGGCTGTCTATGTAGGCTGCATTGGGTAGAGCTTATTCTTCCGGAATAAAAAATTACTATTTGTAAAAATCGATGCATAAGCGAATGCACAAGTATTGGTTAGGTTCGATTAGCCCAGGCAAGACTTGCAACGAAACTTTGAAGTTGTTAACAATTTGCGTTCAGATATAAGGCCTGTTGACGCCGTGTCCTACTGTGGCTTTCATTAGAGATAGATTCCGCCACTCAGTTCGAATCCGCTTCTTTCTAGAAATTGTCGCCCACCGATCTTCATGAGCTACGCTGACGTACCGGCTGTGCAGTCGATATTTGAAAAATATCATAAAAATATTAAGAAATATAAAATGGCAAATGAATAAACAAACAACGTAATACATTTTAAGCCGTATTAATTGTAACAATATTAATAATGGGGGGCAGTGGATTAAATTGCTTGGCAGGACGGCCTAGTCTTATTAGCAAGCTCTACGAGAGAATCAAGCTATAGAAACGTCTAAACCGGTATTAGATAGCCACAATGGCAAACGCCGTTAAGGTATCGTGATAACAAACCCAAGAACGATGACGACAGCGTACGTTAACTGCTAGCATTGGTAGACGTTACGCTATACTTTGAATTCGTTATGTGAGCATATAGTGTTCTATAAAGTGTTAGATGGAGCTAGCGGAAACAGGACATGTTGGTAGTCAGGATCTAACTTGACACTTAGATGAGTGCACACTCGCTGCTTAAAGCCGAAAACCTTTCGGCGGGCCCGGAAGCCTGACATCCGAAACATCTGATGAGGTAAGCGCCCCGAAATAAAGCAGCCGTGCGACATCGTTTCTGCACGACAAAATTTCACTCCGGGAGCTGTCTACGTATAAGGAAATACTGCAAATCATAATACTTACACAAGTACTAGGAAATAAAATTTAACTTTCTTAATCAGGGTCGCGTGTAATCCCTAATCCCTATCTTGAGCTAAAAATTGGCTTTCAGTATTTCGTGCTTTTCAGTAGGACATCATTTTGGATCAATGAATTGATGGTGACGTTTGCTGGAACGTCGTCGGGTGAAATAAAGTTTTTATCCGTACAACTAGCCCTTTTTGTGTGTCGGCGTAAACATTTGCACGGTCGACCACAATGTGTGGGATCGGCATGCATGTGCGTAATTTCATATAAACAGATAGTAGTGCTCTGTAATAGACACTGTGGGACTTCCGCCAACTTGCAGGGATAGTGTATTATCATCGTAACGACCAATTGTGTGTCTAACATTAACGTAACATTTATGAGGTAATAACCGGCTTAGCTTTTACCAGGCCTTCCTTAACCGATAGTGTCATTAGTGTGCGCGCACCGAAACACATCTATATAGAAGGCAAACTGAATTAAGTTGAACAATGAGCGCTACACTGCTATGACAACATGGCTAATTCCAATCTTTCCTATCTCGCCTGTACAAGATTAGCTTACGTCAGCTTACCAAATCAACCTAATGTCAGGTTTCCAGAGCTGCCAAAGCCAACGATTGAATGTGCTCGCCTTGAGCCTTCACTAACTTACTGTTCACAATAAATCTAGATATCAACTATGGCTAAGTTTGCCGAAAGCCAGTGATCCAGATATTACGCTTCGTGACATAACATTGCAATAGGAGAAAAGACCTGAATCTGACAAACTTTTCGACGGCCTTTTTACGCGTGGGTCTTCTATTATTATATGAGAATTGTGAAGAGCATCGACTGTACCTTCAGCAGAAGCTTCGCTGCGACGATCGTCAACGGCAACGCGAACTCGATCATCGGCCAGCTGAAGTGCGCACGCCAACCGCGGGAACTGCCAAGTAATAACTACTCCAAAATGCTCAACGCTTTTCCACGAATAGGGACTCTACTACTGCGTAGCTTCTCTAGGTAAAAGCACATCGGGTCGACCTGGACAACTGTGATTTAGTCTACTTTGCAGCTGGTACATTAATATCCTATAAACTATAACATAATCGAAAACGATAATTAAGATGATTTGCAAAGCGTTGAGGTGCATCGTAAAGCCTACTACTGCCTTCATTCCCAATAACGGCAATTTCCGTACGATTTTTGCCACTGGTTACTTATGCCACACAAAAATTAGAATACACGATTGAAGTTTGGTGAAGCGCTTTATTTGCGCACAATCGATGAAAATACCCTATCCATAAAAATCACTTTTCTTATTATCAGAGGCCAAAACGGCTTTCATATCGTCCCGAAGTCCTCAGCAAACCAAATGTCCGAGA